TATCAGAAAGAATTCTTAGGTCAGGTTGAGATGCTCTCACAGCAGTCTCTCTGTCTCTCTCTATCACCCTCCTTCTCTCTTCTCTTATCTCTGTCCTTCACTGAAGCAGTTTCTCTGAGCTTAGGCCTTTGCAGTCAGGCTAAATAGCTATGTTCTCTAACCACAGACTCAACTCAAAAATGTACATTTCACCTAAATCAAAACGGATTTCTACCCTGGAAAATTTCTACTCTGCCTCACTGGAGGGTGTTTGGGGCAGCAGAAGGAACATTCTGTGTTCTGGACAGTCAGCCTGAGTGCCACAGGATTGTGGTTCTTCAGGGACCTCGTCACTGCTGCATCAGTGACAGCCCCAGGGGTGACACCAGAACCCTCAGAGAACTGAGCACAGTGTTTTTCTCTCACAGGAGAAGGGAAGGGCCAGCCTGGGAGCTGCCCCTGAGCCAGCCCTGTCCGCTGTCTCACAGCTCTGGGCAGCTCCTCCTCATTTGGGATGGGATGGAATCTGTCCCTGGACTTCTGAGCTAAAGGGTGTGCTTGGAAACAGGATGGAATGGTGAGAAAAAAGCGGGGGCAGACTCCAGGACATCAGCATTTACCTTCAGTAGATATTAAAACCCACCAAAATGATGCTTGTTTTGCAAAACACAAATCACAACCTTGATCCCTCCTAAAAAAGGGCTGCTCAGAAGGCTGCTCATGCTCTTTGAACAAAAACCTGAGATTCAAGAGATTAATTTCCTCATTCCTTAGCACAGCCCCTGCTGCAGGCTCCTGTTCCAGGGCAGATTCCAGAGGGAAACACCCGAGGGCTCAATCCCACCCTCAGGATGCTCCAGGCAGGATGAGCTGTGAGCTCCTGCTCCTTTGGGATGGCTCTGCCAGGTGTGACCACCAGCACAGGTGGGAAAAGCAGCCGGGATGGGAATGCCTTCGATCATCCCTGGAGTTCACCTGTCCAAACCCTGAGCAATGCACGAGATAAAAACTTAAAAAAAAAATGGAATATACCAAATATTCCTGCGTTTAAGCAGAAAAACGACCTGCACAATGCTCACACAATTACATGCTTGCATGAAAACAGTGGTAAAGAAACACAAATACCATTTTTGCAGGCAAGACCACCAGGATAAAAAAAGCTTTGATCCATTTATAGTCTTGGTTAAATTAACCAAGAGGCCATATGATTTTAAGGTATGGTCTGTTTTTTTTTTCACTGATTTCCAGTAATTTAAGGTGAGCATTATTGTTCATTTGTGACACTGACTGAAGGCTGCAGGAACAGCCTCAGGGGTTCAGGCACGATGAGCCCCAGGTGTGCACGTGGGGTTGGACTGGTGCATGCACACAGCAGGTACTGTACCTCGTTTCCTGTCCACATCTGTCCATTCATCTACACGAAGCATACAAAACAAAACAGCAGTTCAAGATGTAAGAACGAGGGTTGCAAGGAGAAGAAAAGAAAATAAGAAAGAAATAAACTTAAAAAAAGGAAGCTAACTAATGGATTTTGGCTCTTCTCATCAGCATTCAGCAGTGAATGAGAACCTCACCCTCCCCTTGGATAAAATCCTGCTGCTTCAGGGCACATCAAATTTTAGTTTTCAGCTGCATTTTGCACTTACAAGTAACCAACATTTGAGTGAACAGCTTTAAGCATCAACAAACCTGAGTGTGGATGAACCACATCTCAGTGAAATTAACTCACAATTTTTTGGAAGAAAAAAATAAAAATCCATGTGTGGACAAACTAAAACAGCCCAATTCTCCAGATACTCCATCAAGATTTAATTTAGCTAAAATCCTAAACTTGTCCCTGAATGAACAGCAGTAAACTTGTGTCACATCATTCCCTCATCAGGAAACACATGAAAAATTACAAATTTCCCCCCTCACAAACAGCACAACAATTACACAGTGAACCCTTTGTTGTTTAACACTTCATAAAGGACAGGCAAGAGGGATAACAATACCAAGCTCATACCAATTTGATTTTTTATTAAAACATCACAGATCTTCCCGAGGCACATTCCCCATGCCCTGACAGAGAGGTGCAAGGACTTGTAAAGCAAAACTTTAAATTGAAGTTGTAAATTCAGAGGTGCTTGGCTGGGAGCTGGAGTTTCATGGCCCACTTGAAGACATAGGCTCTGATTTTACAAGGATTTTGGCCAAATGGGATTGTATAAAAGCCAAGGTTTCAGGAGCTGTACTGGTATTTGAATTTCACACAATTGCACGTGCTGTCTCTGCACGAGATTTATAATTTTATCCCTGGAAACTCCTTCCCATTGCAAAGCAGCCTGCTCTGCCCCAAACTGCCCAGGAGCTGGGCCAAAATGACCAAATCCTGGGTTATTTTGAATCCAAGAGTGCATTTCTGAAGCTTTAACCCCCGAATTGAGCACAGAAACACCAACACGAATTCCACTTTCTCCTTTTGGGTGAGAACCTCGCAAACCAACCTCAGCAACACCCTGGGGCTGGGAAGGAACTTGAGGAACTTCACCGAGCTCAACCCAACGGGCTGGGCTGGCCAGCACAGAACATTGAGGGCTGATTTCTGTGATAATTATTGTTGTAATTATTGAAATCGGGGTAGGGAAACTGCCCACAGCATCCTCTGGTGACAGCACAGCGTGTCCCTGTGTCACAGCTGACAGAAGGACAGGACACAGCCTCAAGCTGCGCCAAGGGAAGTTTGGGTGAGATGTTAGCAAGAAATTATTCGCTGAAAAGGTGATCGGGAAATGGAATTGTCTGCGCAGGGAGGGGTGGATTCAGCATCC